CCTCCTCCTCTCTCTCTCTCTCTCTCTCTCTCTCTCTCTCTCTTTTTTCTCCTTTCTCGTTGTGTATCGCAGGTTCATCCTGGCCTGGGTGTCCGGCCTGATTTGGTCCGAGGTGAAGCAGTTGTGGGACGTAGGGCTCGAGGAGTACGTGAACGACATGTGGAACGTGATCGACTTCGTCACGAACTCGTTGTACGTCGCGACCGTCGCGCTCCGGGTGGTGGCTTATTACAGGGTGCAGAAGGAAACCGAGGGACAGGCGGCTGGAACCGTGACCGAGCTGCAACGGGAACAGTGGGACACTTGGGACCCGATGCTCATATCCGAGGGACTCTTCTCTGCCGCGAATATCTTCAGGTCGTTCATTTTTCTTATTGCGCAATGTTTCTTCCGGAGGTAACTCTGGTTGACACGTTCACTGTTAAATAAACGCTGAAACTCTTATGCGGAACAGTTTCAACCCTTTGCACTCGAGAGGTGATTCAGTCACCACTTAAAGTTGAATACTTAATATTTTGAAATTAAACCTCGCATTGTTGCGTGAAATATTAAAGTACCCCTTTGTTGCATAATTTATCTATGAATTATTAAATTAGTTTCAAACAGTATCACCTATGTCTCGTTAAAAAGTGTTGGATATTTCCATTGGAAAACTTTCGAGTGCAAAAGGTTAATAGAATAGAAAGCAAGAAGTGAAGATTCTTTATAACAAAGCACTACTGTCTTAATGGCACTTTTCCTGTGAATAACTAACTATAAAATAGGTGAACGAGTCAGATGATCAATGATTTGCAGTGAGGACAGAAAGAAAAGAATTGGGGAAGTAGTAGGGAAATGTAGGAATTGATATTGAAATTATATGTACGAGAAGACCTAGAACTTTAAATCCGGTTATAAAACGAAGGAAATATAATATCGAATTGTTTCTCGCCGAATGTCATCGCAGTAGCATTATATATAATACAGGAATTATTACGAATAATCGTTTAATTGGATTACAGTAATCCGATCGTCCGAACAATTACCTTATTAAATAATTCACCTTCATACTGAAGTTTTCCTATATCTCAAAAAATCTTCCTCCGCAGTTGATAAGTTTACTATCTAAACTGACAGAAGTAGCTACAACGAAAGTCTCTTCGTTGATCAAACATATCTTCCTAAACTCGAGAATCGAACTCGTTCACGATCGAATATCCCAAAAACATCGAAGAAAATCAGCATGCTGGAAAACATTCTCTGCGATCCCGCAGAGGGACGGTCGAGCGCGATCCTAATTAGAGTAATTACGAATTTCTCTATTTCGGGAGGCTGTTGGCGCGTCGTCGCGTGAACTCCTCCGGGAGATAATTAGGCTTTTACCTTTCAGCTTTAATTTCTATCTGCTTAAAACACGTAATTGAACAGAAGGCCTGAAGTCGTGCTCGCGTATGCTTCCAGCTCGTTGAAACTCGTCTACATATTCTCCGTGAACCCCCACCTCGGACCCCTGCAAGTCTCCCTGTCCAGGATGGTTATGGACATTATGAAATTCTTCTTCCTCTACGTGTTGGTGCTGTTCGCATTCTCCTGCGGTAAACAGATCAGAATACTAGCCTGCGAGCCGCGTGTCAATAACCGGGCAACAGGGTGCTCGTCTTCGACTTGCCAACCCTTTGACACAGTCTTACCCAATGGGGCTGCTCAGTAGGGCAATTTGAAATTTGAAGTATCACTTCGTATGTTTTACTATATTTACACGTAAACAAAATAGCACAAATATTAGAAGAATATTATAATATAAGATTGAAAATTATCAGTAGGTTTACGGGCATTTATTGTGCACTTCATTCTATTATTGTAAATATTTACAAAATAATATTTCTAAAATCCAATATACGTCAGTTTGACGCGTTCCGTAAACCTAGTGTTAAATATATTATAGACGTTTTACAATTTTGATACACCAATCGAGTGGTGACTGCACTTTGGAGTGCAAAGGGTTAATGTCCAAAAGCAATGTTTTTGTATGAGAAGAGGTACGCTTTGATAAGATTGTAGATTATGTTATCCTGGTACAATGGTTATTGACACGTCGATCGAAGGTCGGATTGGTAGCGTTATCAAAATATAATTCAATGACGATGAGTTTATTGATAGGTCTGAACCAGCTGCTTTGGTATTACGCCGACATGGAGAAGAAGCGTTGCCCGACAGCGACGCCTTTCACCCCTAACACCAACATGACGACTGACTCGAACGCTTGCATCGTGTGGCGACGTTTTGCGAAGTACGTGATACTCGAACCGTAAAGGAACCAATTAGAATCGACTAAAATTTCACTTTCTTGGCTCACGAAATCGAGCGACGAAGGTTCAGTAATTATTCCGAGTACATCAACCTTAACACTGACATATCACAATTACTCAAATATCTTCTACAAACTTTCAAATTTTCAATCTATTACCTAATACATACTCGACCAATTTCGAAGATTACTATATTACAATAGTAATCACCGTATAACATATATACAAACAAACAATTCACCACTCATTTAACCTACCAGCAATCGATGGACCAAGAACAATGAAAAAGTAGCAAAGTCCAGGTCCACCGATCAACGCTTAAAGTACGCTCTCTAATTTCCCAGCCTCTTTGAGACCTCGCAGACCCTCTTTTGGGCGGTGTTCGGTCTAGTGGACCTCGAAAGCTTCGAATTAGACGGCATCAAGCCGTTCACCAGGTTCTGGGGTATGCTGATGTTCGGGACGTACTCGGTGATCAACATCGTCGTTCTGCTGAATCTTTTAATCGCGATGATGAATCACTCCTATCAGCTGATCTCCGTGAGTGATTATCTATCGGCGGATAGAGCCCGACTTCTCTCGGCTAGACAGGCGGGAGGGGGGTGGAATCAGCGTTTCCGGTAACGATCGTATTTCTGATTCCAATCAGGAACGCGCGGACGTCGAATGGAAATTCGCCAGGAGCAAGCTGTGGATCAGCTATTTCGAGGAGGGCGGAACGGTACCGCCGCCGTTCAACATAATACCGACCCCGAAGAGCGTCTGGTACATAGGCCAGTGGATGTACCGGAAGCTTTGCGGCCACAGTCGCGCTGCCAAGAAAGAACACATGAGGACGATCAGGGTGAGAGTAATTCCGATTACATTTACGTGGTTCTACATTGTTGCTGACTTCTTGGGTTCTCGAATAATTTGGTCTAATTATATTTTTATGGTTTTCTGTGATTTCCATCTGTTGATATAGCTTTCCTATTGCCATTTTTTTAGCTGACTGGATTTACTTGATTCTACATTGTTACTATCTCTTTGGGTTCTCGAATAATTTAGTTTAATTAAATTTCTATGGTTCTCCGTGATTTCCATATCTTGAGATAATTCTATATTTTAGTGTCATTTGTCTAGGATGGATATTTGTCAATGTCAATTTACATCAGATTGATACGTTCTGTGATATAGTATTATTACCATTTTTTTAGCTAACTCGATTTACTTGATTCTACATTGTTGCTATCTCTTTAGGTTCTTGAATAATTTAGTCTAATTCAATTTTTATGGTTCTCTGTAATTTCCATCTCTTGATATAGTTTTCCTATTGCCATTTTTTGAGCTAATTCTATTTACTTGGTTCTACATTGTTGTTGACTTTTTGGGTTCTCGAATAATTTGGTCTAATTCAATTTGTATGCCATTCATTATATTGTCAATGTGTCAAATTGAACCTACTGCCACTGCCATTTTTTGAGCTGATTCTCTTGTATTCCAGTTCGATTCGATCTACACTGTTCTTCATTAATGCCATCTCTTGAACTGGTTCTCTTAGATTCCAGTTCAATACGATTTACACGCCTGTTCCTCATTGCTATCTCTTCAACAGGTTCTCTCTCTCTTTAGTCTAATTCGATTTACATGGTTCTTCATTATTGCTATCCCTCGAGCTGGTTCCCTTATATTTCAGACTAATTCGATTTACATGATTATTCATTATTGCTGTCTCTTCGACGAGTTCACTGATACTTTAGTTTAATTCGATTTACATGGCCGCGATTACCGTCTCTTGAGCTAGTTCTCTTATATTTCACTCTAATTCAATTTACACGGCTCTCCATTATTGTCATGTCTTGAACGAGTTCTCTTGTATTCCAATTCGGAGCTGTTAGACTCTCATCCGTTCATCGTCGAGTGGAATTTCTCTTGCACTTTTGCCTTCAGATTGCGAAGATACCAGTAAATTTAAAATCTCGTAGAAATACAGCAACAAATGACTATAATACTCACAAAAATTCTCAATTTTAATTTTTTGATTTATCCAATTGTTCTCGTACAGTTTCTCACGAAGCAGATCGAATAGAGAAAATTTAGCAATATTATAGCAATAAAAATAAAAAATACAACAACAAATAACTAGAATACTTACAAAGATTCTTAATTTCAATTTTTCGATTTATCCAATCGTTTTCATACAGTTTCTCACGAAACAGATCGAACAGAGAAATCTTGGCAATATTATTCGAGAACCTGTTCGCAATATAGTGCGCGCAGGGTGGACCAGTAAATATTCTCACGTTAATTATGTCGATCGCCGTGACGAATGGACGAGTATTTTCCAATCAACACTAAGTTTACGGAACGCGTCAATTCAACGCAGATTGAATTCTATAAACATTATTTGGTAAATATTTCAATCGGTTCTCGTTGATCCAGTTACACGAATATGAATCCTGATTGTCTATTCTACATCTACAATTTCCAAAATCTAAATGAACGAATATCAACTTCCCCAAACCTAGTGTTAAGACACTTTCCACTTGGAGAATACTCGTCCGGTCGTGACGGTTTGTGAAATGATTAAGTCACCGATACTTACTGGTCCACCCTGTATAACAAAAGCGATACGTCCATTCGTTCTGTGCTCACAGAGAAAAGCGAAACAGGCGTCGGAAAGGGACTTCCGGTACCAGAGCATCATGAGGAACCTGGTCAGGAGGTATGTCACGGTGGAGCAGAGGAAAGCGGAGAGCGAGGGCGTCACGGAGGACGACGTGAACGAGATCAAACAGGATATCAGTGCGTTCCGGTACGAGCTGATCGAGATCCTGAAGAATTCCGGGATGAACACGTCCACGGCCAGCGGTGCTGGCACCGGTGAGAATACTTGCACGATGGAAGCGACACGATTAACGCACATTATCTTTCAGTTTCTCGCAGTATTATTTGTGCTTTTCGTTTGTACACAGTAGTCGCTAGTTTTTTTTATTTTGACCCTTTACTCCCTTTAACCCATTAAGCATCCTCGGTTCCTGAATTGTAAATTGAGAATTGAATGTGTTAAGTCGAAAGGGGAGATATTGTTAATGAATCCAGATGTTGGGATAGGTTGAGATTCTTAGATGTTGAATTTCGAATTGATCTAGTTTCTCGGAGAAGGGAAAATTATTACTAGTCAGTTATTGATGTGAGTAAAGGATCTATTATTGAATTCTACGTTGGTAATCTGATTTGTCAATGAGAGACAGATTATTGTTATTGATAGCATTAGGTATCCATGATGCGACTAAAGGATTCTCTATTATTGAATTCTAGATTACTCTAATTTGTCAATAGAAAGGGCACAAATTATTAATATTAATAGCATTAGGTATCCATGATAGACTAAAAGATTCTCTATTATTGAATTGTAAATTAATATAATTTGTTAATAGAAAGAGGACAAATTATTGTCATTAATAGCGTTAGGTATCCATGATAGATTAAAAGATTCTTTATTATTGAATTGTATATTAATTTAATTTGTCAATAGAAAGGGGACAAATTATTGTCATTAATAGCATTAGGTATCCATGATACGATTAAAAGATTCTCTATTATTGAATTCTAAATTAATCTAATTTGTCAATAGAAAGGGCACAAATTATTATCATTGATAGCACTAGGTATCCATAACTCTTGAAGTTTGTGTTAAAAATTAAGAGAAGAAAATTGTAGAATTAAATGATGGTCGAAGAAGCACGGTCTTTCCCATCTGTTGATCAGCAGTGCACAATGGAAAAGCAGATTTCGTCTAAGGAATTATTCCCCATAAATGGATAACTTCGTTCCGGTCGAAGTTGAAGGGCCAGACTGTCGCGCGACACGAATACAAAATCATGATGAGGATCTATGCGGGTAGCGAGCCTCGATCCTCCGTAAATGAAACTTCCAAAGTTCGTTACTGGCTGCGCTATTAATCATCCGGCGAACTGCGGGGGGCTAATTAATGCAATTAAGGATCGTCTGGCGTGGATATTACGTTGTCGTTAACAGGTTCAATTTGAAATTAAGAAGTCTGCGCGAGTTCACGCCCGAAAACCTGCTCGCCCTTCGTGATCGGCTTTAGTACAAGCCACTTGAATCGAATTTCACCTGTTGGATAAGCCCGCCGCGTGATTAACAACTCGTCCCTTCCGTGCTTTTGTTTCTCAAGGTGTTGCATACATAAAAACAACGAAACTAAGATCACATTTGAGAATTTTTCTACTTTACACAGTTCTACAATATCTTATTCGGTAATTACTCTCATACCTCGAAACTATAATTTTCACCTTCATTTTTGAAGATTGAGTAATCTCTACATTTTAATTGCACTATATTCAATTACATTCTAGAGTATTCGGAATACTTGTAGCTGTAACTATCGAGTGTAATAGTGTAATAGTGTAATAGTGAAACTCATAAGTTATGAAATTCAATCATACACCTTAGAATTTGGTGTTCAAATGATTTCTATCTCTTGCAATGTCCAGAATTCAAAAGATTTCTATCTCTAGCAGTGTCCAAAATTCAAAAGATTTCTACCTCTAGCAATGTCCAAAATTCAAAAGATTTCTACCTCTAGCAATCTTCAAAATTCAAATGATTTCTATCTCTAACAATATCCAAAATTCAAAAGATTTCTATCTCTAGCAATGTCCAAAATTCAAAAGATTTCTATTTCTAGCAATATCCAAAATTCAAATATCTTAATTCCGCCCTAAGTGTTTCCCAGCTTTTTACAAAATTTTCGATCTCCTTCCCAGCCGAACGTACGCAACCCCTTGATCTTCTTTTCAGTTTCGTTTAGTAGCTGCTTGAGCATAGTCCTTGGTTTTTCTGTCTGCCCCATAGACGGTAGCCTTAAAGAGCTGTCCATAGGTGCGGGCGGTAAGAAGAACCGTCAGAAGGAGCGTCGATTAATGAAGGGCTTCAATATCGGCCCCCAGCCGGGCGGAAGTGGCAGCCTGCCGCCGGTTGACGAATTCGTTGCGTCGCAGCAGCAGGTTCAGCAAGAGAACGGTCAGGACCTGTTCGGCTCCACTCAGAGCGGGATATACGGGCCTGGCACCACGCCCAAGAAAAGTCCCCACAGCACTAGCACTAACAGCGTGCCTGGACTACCTTGCCAGCGCGGGATAAGAAACGGCTCGAGGAAGAAAGGATGGGGGAACATCATCGAGTCCGCTAGAAGCAGCAAAGTCTCGAGGATAATTAGTAAGTTGTTCTCAATCGAATACTCTGCGAGCTGGTACCTCACAATTCTTAGACCCTTGGTCTCAATCGCAAGGAAAATTGAAATTCTCTAAGGACCTTGAAACTTCGATCATTTTCAGAGCAATAGCACCTTGGAAAACGACATAGAAATTATAGATTTACCCTTTCAAAGTAGCTAAAATTGATCACTGTGCGATTTCTTTCTACAAAATGTACTAGTTACATCAAAAATTGATGTATGATCAGCTTTTCTAGAACCTAGCGATCTCCAGTTTCATAATCGCGAGAATAACAATAATTCCTTACACTCTATTCAACATGAACCTAATAATTCCCTCTAATTACCAACAAACTTACACAAGCCTTCTCAAATCACTTCGTTCCCTCCACAAACACAATATAAAAGACGCTTTAACCTCTTAGGCACGACTGTACGGACAATGCTGCTCTCTATGCGAGTACATTGGAAGTTTTTGATGATTCAATTATAATTTTTCTTAAAGATATAATACACATAATTTAACTTCAACAATTTACGATTTATTTTACGAAAATGTATAATGTTTTGAATATTTTTTTCGCGCAGCCGGCAGTTAACACGTTAAGCGCCATGTCAGTGGTGACTGACGCTTCTGAACGACTAAAAAACAATCGTAACACACAAGACAACCGATGTGAAATAAAAATGTTCAATAAGGCAACTAAGTTGATAATAGTGCAACGCGAACGTTGCAACGCCAAACAGTTCATAATTATTCCTACTTTTCTCTGTTACAAAAGACAAACTCTATGGGAAAACGCTTAAGATTTCCGTGGCGTTTAACGCGTTAAAATGCGTCGCGAATGCTAAGAGGCTTCCTTTCCCAGATAGATCTCGTTCGGAGGACTCAGTGTACTCGCGCGGCTCCGAGGACGCCGGTTCAAGGTCGGAGGGATCGACGGACTCAAAGTCCTCGCTGGAGGCCGGCGGCCACGAGGTCCAGCCCCATCATTCGCATCAGTCCCAGCAGACGCATCATTACGATGCTCGCCACATGCTCGCTCACGGCCTAGACGCCCTGGCGACGCTGCGGAAGAACCCGGTGCAGACGATCGCCTCGACCTTCGTGTCGAAGGTCTCCAAGAGGCAGCCGCTGTACAGGGCGAGCAGCGTGCCAACCAGAGGACCGGAACTGAACCAGCAAACCCTGCCGCCCAGGAGGCACGAGGCGACGCAGAGTCAACAGCCTAGCCTGGACAACCCCGACGGCGCGAGCATCAGCGAGCAACCTGGTGAGTTCACCGGGTCAATCGGAATTTTCAACTATGTGTCCCCTGGATCTTTGGCTCTCTGGTCGCTTGGCGAGCGATCGATCAGGGTTGGGGTTTAGGTTTCCTTTTGAGCTTTGTGTTTGGGTAAGCTCGAGGGTAGTGGAACGATTGATCGTGAATCTGTTATTAATTACTCGAGAACTGAGGAATTACGAGGGTAAGATGTTATTGAAGGGTTGAATGTTAACTTTGCACTCGAGGTTTTCTGGAGATGTATATTTTTCAGTGAGACGAGGTTCGAAGTAACAAATGAGGAAGCTCAGGGAAATTAAGGAAAATTAAGATATTTTAGTTAAATATTTTATATATTGATGCCTTATAGAGAGCATAGTGAATGTTAACTTTGCACTCGAGGTTTTCTAGATATGTATATTTTTCAGTGAGACGAGGTTCGAAGTAACAAATGAGGAAGCTTAGGGAAATTAAGGAAAATTAAAATATTTTAATTGAATATTTTATATATTGATGCGTTGTACAGAGTATAGTGTTATATATAAGACAGTTTTGATATATGGAATCTAGATTGAAAAACCTATCGAGTGTAGAGAGTTAATTGAATGTCCTTTGAACCTAATTAAACACTTAGAACCCTCGAATCGACGAATCGTAATCTAAAAAGCGTAGGCAGCGAAGTGTACCAAAGAATTCTCGAGTCCGGAACCATAGAAGTTGAACAACCTCTTAACGATCAAATACCGGACTGAAAATCCCCTATCGAGCACAGAGTCTTAACATTGAATATCCTTTGAACCTAATTAACCACTTAGAATCCTCGAATCGACGAATCGTAATCTAGAAAGCGTATGCATCGAAGCGTAAGAATTCGCGAGTACGGAACCATCAAAGTTGAACAACCTCTCGATCAAATACCGATCCGAAGGAACCGAGGCGTCGATCAATTCAACAGTCGAGCGCAGAGAGCCTCGAGCAACTATCAATCGAGACGAATCCGCGTTGCAATTCATTAACACGATAACTTATCGCCGCTTGGCGCGCGAAGAGACGCATGGGTTTTCGCGGTGCGCAAACAAACTCGCCGACCCATAAATCGCAACGGCGAATAAATCACCGGGGCTGAAGAAAATCCGCTTGTTTTTGTTCAGCAGTGGTCACCGCCGCCCCGCTGACTCCGTCCACCACCGAGGAGAGCGTGGTGGCCAGCGGTTCTCTGTCGGTGACGCTGAAGAGGAACGGCTCGGCGACGCAGCTGCAGCGGCTCCCGGGGATCGAGCCGATATCCGGCCACGACAAGACGGACAGGTGGCTCTGAGACGATCCCCCGGTCGCCGTCGCGCGACGTGTCAGCTAGCGGCGCGGGGGGTCGCGCGCGTCGACGGGTGTTTTCCGAGATTTCCGTTAACCAGCAGCCGCGGACGCTGCGACGGCGGCACCGCTCGCGGACAGGAGGACCACCACCGTCATCGTCGGGTCCGTCGATCGCGTGGCCGTCGTCGCCGGCACACGCACAACGATGCCTTTCTCGCGACGACAGGAGACTTCGCCGAGACTAAACGCAGAATTACGAGAAACAAACACAAAGAAACTATATTATATTATACTATATATATATATATTATATATATATATATACATATATTACACGTAAGCGACGTCGACCGTGAACCACGAACAACGCCCGCTCGTTGACCCACCGGCGAGCCCTTTTCCTTTCAATACGGAGTCTGACATCGGTTTCACGCTGGCGATCCGCAGGAATAAGTGAGGAGGATTGTTGTCTTTGTAGCAGATGGGTTTTAACGATTATTCGTGGTTTCTTCGTTTTGAAATTAACACATTGAGCGCCGTGAAAACGCCGGACTCTGCGTTTTGATGGTTCAAAAGTGGAGAAAAGCAAGGACACTCTTTCACCTGCAACGCTCAGCTTTCGACGCATGATCATTGACATACGCTAAGGCTTTAGCGTTGCGAGCACAAGATTTCAATTGTCTTCACTTTTGGACCAAAGCTCGGCTTGACTAATGTGACCTCTAAGTATCTAGGAGTAATTAATGCAAGACATAGAACAAGAGAAAGAAAGATGTTTCTCCCAAAATTTCCATTGACTTATATTACAATTGTTACATTACACGATTCTGAAATGCATCACTCTACAGAATAAACTTAACACATTGAGCGCCGGCCCCGCAGTAATGCAATTAAAATACGTTGTTGGCGTTCAATGTGTTAACACTTAGGCGACCGCCTGAAAAGAACTATAACTACAATCTCCTCCATTATCTTCAATTGAACTCTTTCAGTGAATTCGGTTAGAAATTGTTTTGTAAAAACAAGAACCGTATTTGATGAATTGCAAATAATCCCACTTCAAGACTTACTAAATAACGAAAGAGAAGATATACCCCCATTCGATTGGCTGAGTGTTAAAAAGACTATTGTTTCGGGGTTGCCGAAGTAATTAATTCGGATAGATGAATTATAAATTAATAACATGCAGTTTTGAGGTTGCTATAGGATTTCAGAAAGTCAACTCGGTAGTGTTGATTGTTCTTTGTTCTTTGAATCAGTTTGTTTTGATATTATGGAAGTTGAATCAGGTTGTGCAGAGATCATTTTTAAGGTTGTTGATGGTAGGAGGATGTGGGGTAATGAGTAATTAATCATTTTGATCGTGAGTTGATTATTTTGTAGGTATCCGTTGGTTTTCTACCGAGGATTTATTCATCGGATAACCACGAAGCATTTTGTTAAGAAGAGTTTGCTTTCCACGTTTTAATGATGTCTTGTTGGAATTGGAGGAACGTCGCAGGATGTTCCTGTTCGTGTAATTAATGAACGCACAGGATGCACCGGGATGTAGCGTGGAAGACAAATGGCGGCATGGAAAACGCAGAATCACTGTTTCCTCGACGGGAAAATCGCCGGCGTGAAACCGCAGCGACTTTGACACGAGCGACGCTCGTCGATCACGCGCGAACTTCCTCATATTTCAGCGGAGATGAACTTTCACCCCCACGCGTGCCCACGTGGACACTCCCGCGCGACGATCCGGGAGTTTCTTAACTGCGTGCGGCTGAGAAGTACTGAAATTGTAGCTATACGAGTACGAGATTATGGGTAGTCACAATGGAAATTGGTGGAGCATCCAATTTTTCGAATGGAGATGAATGTTGAGTCTTGACACGTGACAGAATAGTCTAACCCCTGTTTTCGAGGAAAGAAGATTCAATGAAATCTTGGATTAATTGTACATTGATATAATTAGTATTACAGTAATACTAATAATATTATTTATTATGAATTATTGATATTAGTAACTGTAATACTGATTGAGTAAATACATTACTGATATTGCAATGCTACTAATAATATCAATTATCAATAATCAGTAATTGTAATATCAATATTTCTTTCATCTAAGAATATTTCACAAAAGCTTCTCTCTTAGAAACTCAGAATTTCGTTACGATTACAATAATGTTTGTTATATTACTTATTATTTATTATCAAAATTGAAATTCTATTAATAATACCAATTATCAATAATTAACATCAGTAATTGTAACATCAATATAACGTTTCACAAAAGCTTCTCCCTTAGAAACTCAGAATTTCTTTACTATTCCAATAACGCTAATAACATTACTTATTATTCATTATCTAAATTGAAGTGCTATTAATAACACCAATTACCAATAATCAATATTAATATTACAACATCGAATTCAATTCATCCAAGAACATTTCACAAAATCCAGAAACTCAGAAACAGGAGTTAGACCACTGTTATTCCTACCGCCACGTATACATCACCGCGGATAGTTAAACAAACGTCGTCCGCGGTGCAGCAGTTGTGTTGCGCTAAACGATCCGAGTCGAAAGGAGCGTTCTCATCGGACCAGGTATCTCGGGACGTTCATCGTCGCCTCGATCGGTCGCCGCTGATACGATTTTATCTCACCCCGTGTCATCCCACGATCTACTACCGCTACTACTGCCAGAATGGAAGGGGCAAGTGGGTCGACGATCACTAGTCTAGTCAGCACTAGTCGGACGATCTCGTACCAATGAAATTGGAAACGGTCGTCGGTCGGTTCGGAGTTGAACGCTCGATCTTGATCACTTCGAACCACTTTGAAACTGGACACTGTCGACGACACGATCGCAGGTGACAGATTGTAATATCGTAGACGATACTCGTCGTGTCCTACTATTGTTGTTATTAGTATGTTGTCCTTGTTATTCCCAGTCGTTGCGCGATCACTGGGAATTAATGTTATACGTGGACAGAGGATGTTCATGGGAGTACAAGATTTCGGAGGCCGATGTCTTTCCGTTGCATTTACGAGACAGTTAACGGAAGGAATCTGTTCGGCGCTTGTGACGGTAATTGGCGCGTAAAGGATATAAATTTGCAGGGACGTCGGCGGTCTATTTGTCACTCAAACGAGCCGGCTCGTTAGGGGCCTCGAAAAATAGAATATATCAGAGTAATGGGCTAGTTATGAGGCTCATCGTTTCCAAGCTATTCTCTCTCGAGTTTATTCTAATTTGTGGAGGTCTGGGATTTATCGCGTGCATCTATCTGGCGAACACTATTGAAACGTTTCGTTCTGTAATTAAATTTGGTAACGAGTTAACACGTTGAACGCCGCACGATTTCATCGAGCAAAGTACAAAAAAGGGAAAAAATACAATATTAAATCATTCGACTGAATTGGATTATTATCATTGCACGCACCGCAATGAGTATCATTATTTATAGTATAGAAATGTTTGCGAATGATTATCGTTTAATTGAGTGAATTATAGTAGTTTGATTTGCTCGGGGGTCACCGGAGACCCCCATGGCACTCAACGTGTTAAAGAGTACTTGTGGAAAGTACTTCAAGATTCAAACGTGAAACCTTTAACCCTTTGCACTCGAGAGGTCTCTCTCACCACTTGATTTCATACAGTAAAACTATAAAATTCAATATTTAATATTATAGTTCGTATACTGAAATATTGAAATAAAATAGCTTTGTTCCTCAATGTGCGTGTGACATCTCGAGTTATTTTCATCTCATCGGAAAATGTTAAAATATTTCTAGTGAACTTCCGAGTGCAAAGGGTTAATATTAAACGTTGCGTGACGTCATCTTCCAATATTATCAGTATTATGAACGACTATCGCTGACAATTTGCAAAAGGAAAATTGCAACCGTACACTACAGAACAATAGAAACATTTTTGTTACAGTTTTCTACGAGAATCCTTCAATTTATAAACGATTCGTAAAAAGAAAATGACTAATTCGCGAGGAAAGTGGATAACCGTGATGATTTCTGAGTAATTCGATGAGTAATCCTGATCTCGAGCGAACAATCGATTCCGAGCCGACCGCGCCGTCTCCGCGTTAAATCGTAAGAATCAGTGACTACTTATAAATACACTATAAAAACGGGAGAACAAAGAGAAGGATTGTTATCGTCGTTTTAGCGGAGTCGCGTACACGTCGAATTTATCCTAGCCGCTTCAGGAAGCTGGTCTACTGAAGATCGGAGCTTTTTCTATCGCCAATCGGATCAGAAACGTGGCGTTTCGTACTTTTTTATTTTCGCCCGTTCAACGAACTCTAGTCGGATCAACCGCGATCGAACGTTTCTTTCCCCGTCAGCCCCGGGAACCTGTCTCTTCTCCAGCGCCGACAGCGAGACACCTCGATTATCCGAACCGTAGTCAACCGACGATCGAACCGTACGCTTAATTAACCCTTAAATTGGCATCTCGAAACATTCTTCCGCGTAATTTCACTCGATTCCCGTGATAACTTAACGGAATCGCTTCAAATGTTTATTTCTTCGACACTTGCATTGATTTTTCCTTCGGAAACAAAGGATCTACATGAGAATATTTGTAATATTTGGACAAATCCCGACTCAGTTGCCAACGCAAGGGTTGATTTCGAGTAATCGAGGCACCGGGGCGCACTAGTCGACTGAAAGAATGGAAGTTCTCCTTGAGAATCTGGGCGGCTTTCGATCGACTTTCTCCTCCATAGTGAAAATCGTGTGGCGGATGGAATCCGCTGACTATAGAGACAAAGGGATCGAAATGAATTCGCCTTAACGCGTTCGCTATTTTTCTACGATAACATTCATTGCAGAAAAGCTTTTAAATAAATCCATCTTTTCGTTCACTAAATGGCAAATTTCTGCAGAAAATAAATTTCTTAATCCATCGAAATAAATTGGAGACGAATAATTCTTGAATAAATTTATAAACGTATGAAAGACAGTATTGAACGATGTGGGAAGATCGGTAGCGAACGCGTCAGTTTTCAAGGAACGTTCAGTAAAGGGAGCTTCCAATTTCTTTTCGCAGCGACACACCGTCGCTCGTTCGTTCGGA